GTTGGTTAAGCGACTGCCTTCGGCTCAGGTCATGATCCTGGAGTCCCGGGATCGAGTCCCACATCGGGCTTCCTGCTCAGCAGGGAGTCTGCTTCTCCCTCTGACCCTCTGACCCTCTTCCCTCTCGTGCTTTCTATCTCTCATTCTCTCTCTCTCTCTCTCAAATAAATAAATAAAATCTTTAAAAAAAAAAAAAGAAGGCGAATATATCGCCACCAAAGAGGAAAAAAAAAAGTAAGGCGTATATTACTGGCAGAGATTGCTACCTGTCAAGTCTAAGGCCTTAACAGAACCAGCATGACCCACTTGTCCCAGTTTGCCTGGGACTTCCCTGGTGTTTGCACTGAAATTCCCATGTCCTGGGAACCCCCTCAGTGCTGGGGGCAGGGGTTGGTCATACTAAACAGAACCCTGGACAATGTTGCCAGGTGAGTTAATGCGGCACTCCCAGACTTGCTGGCAGCTCCTGGTGGCCATGTGACCAAGTTCTGGCCAATGCAACACAAGCAGAGGCATGAGGTGGGACTCCCAGCAAAGCTCTTTACCGAGCCCTCTGGCAGGCCATTGCGATGACTGGAGCTATGACCATCATCTTGGTCCATGAGGTGACATTGAGGATGGGAGCAAGTGCCAAGGAGTGGAGGAGAAGAGAAGCCTGGACCCCTGCTGACCATGAGGCCATAAACTCCTGGTCTATTTTATATAAGAGACAAGGTGGAAAAAAGCTATCTTGTTTAAAGCTCTACCTTTTTTAGGGTTTTCTACATGGAATTAAAACTAAAGTAAACCAAAATTATTTTTTGGTATTAGCTGTGTTTGGGCTCTGCTGGCCACTGTGTCTGGATGATGAGCAGAGAACTGCAGGCCTACATGGGCCCAGTTCTGAGTTCTGGCTCTCCCCTGGGCCTGTCAGAGTCTGGGTCTGGATCCTCTGAGCTCACTGAAGCCCATAGAGATCAGTTTACCTACGCCCTCCCCCCACCAGGGTCCAGGGCATCAGCACAAATCGAAGTGGGGTATCTTCTCGCCACCCTCTCTTGCCCACAGGGGGCTCAAGAATGCCCAGAAAAATGACCGTATTTGTGCAGGGGTGTAGGAGGGGGGCAGGGTGGTACCCACAAGGAGCTGCAGCAGCTGAAGTCGGCATCGTAGGCGTAAGTCCCATCCGTGCGGCAGCTCTCACCTGGGGTCAGGAGACAGAGGGGCGGTTAGAGGCAGCAGACCAGGGACCAATATCCCCAGCTCCCTGAGGCCCCAGCCTTAGCCCCTCCCTGTGGTTGGGATGGTGGCTGGAGCATGGATGGCTTTGTAGGCAACCGTAAAGGTGTTAGCTTTTACCCTGAGTGAAATTAGGCAGCCACTGGAAGATTCTGACCATGATTCCTACCCCCACCACCAATACACAGCCAACCTTGGGCAACTCACCTCCTCTCTCCTGGCCCTCAACTTCCCCAAGGTTGGGAGAATACCACCTTCCTGCCTGCCTCGTGGGGGTCTTGGGAATAGCAGGTGAGGGAACAGATGAGGTAATGTTTTTAAAACTGTGTTTGAGGCAAGGAAAAAAAAAAGAACTTTGAGGGAAAGAACCCCAGATCTTGAGAGGATAGAAGCACCATTTACAGAGAACTTGCTCTCTACCTAGCCCTGTTACCTCTCTCAATCCACTAGCCTTACCCTTCTGATCTTGGCTCACTCAGTGTCACTTCCTCGAGACACCCCCCTGACTTCACAGGTGAGGCCAGTTCCTCAGTCTGTGTTCTCAGAGTACAACATGTGGCTACATTTTACTTGTGTAACTATGTAATTACAGTGGGCCTACCTGAGCAAAGCAAGCCTTGTGAGAGCAGGGCAACGTCTGGTTCTGCTCCCCAGTACATCCTGCTGATAGCAGGTGCTTCAGTAAATATTTGTTGAATAGAGTGAATTTGTTGAAATACTTGTTGACTTATCTCATTCATTTACCCATCATCCTGTGAGAGTTGATGAACCATCCCAACTTCCCAGTAACCACGGTTCCCACGGATGGGAGTGCCTCCAGGAGGAAAGAGCTCTGTTGCTGGAGCTATGCAAACAGGGAGCACATTGAGGGGGCTGTGGCTGAGGAAATTCACTTAGTGGCCTCGAAAGTAGCATGGGAGTAGCGGCAGATAGAAGCTTTAAAAATCAGACACACCTGGGTTTGAATCCCAACTCTCCCACTTACTCGCTGAGTAAGACCCTGAGCAATTTATTGACTACTCTGAGCCTTAATTAATGTCCTCATCTGTAAAACTGGAATCATAAGGCTTCAGAGAGTTCTTTCATCTACTCAAAAAACACTTGTTGAGCATCTGTGGTGTCCCTAGTCCAGTGCTAGGCACAGGGGATACAGTGGCAAATGGACCGACAAGGTTGCTATGGGGATTAAATAAGATGTGGCACATTGGTACTGTGCTTGGCACATAGTTGGTGCTCAGTAAATGCCTCTATTAGTTCGCATTCTCATTCTAGCCCTTGATTGCATTCAAGAGTGGGTCTGGAAATCTTGGTTTTGACCTAGATTCCTAGTGGAGCTAGACAGCTCAGTGAATAGACAATGCATGTGCTTGGATTTCTGCAAAGCAAGGACATCAAAAACGAAAGTGGGGAAAAAAGTTCAGCTTTGAGGGGCTCACTCTGAATCTGGCAACCAGAATATCTGTGAAGAAGCTAAGTTTGAGGTCATCATGAAAACTGACATTTTATTTTAACTACCTAAGGGTGGCAGGGTTGGGGGAGGACACTGTAATTGTGGTAGCGATCAGGACCCCTAGAGGTGTTCATTGGCCCTGAGTCCTGGGGCAGCCCCCCCTCCCCGGCCTTTTGGGATGTTTCACAGCGGGGGGTGGGCAGCCAGGAGTTCCAGTACTCACTGCGGCTGCAGAGCCACGGCCGCTCGGGTGTGGACGTGTAGTGGTAGCCAGCCCGGTCCACGCACTCAATGCTCTGGTCCCCGTAGATGATCTGGAAGACCTGACAGATGAGAGCACAGGACTCCTCGGCAGCATCCTGGCCCCAGGGAGGAGGACAGAGCGCTCAGGCCTCTCCAGGGCCCAGGACACCCCTGGCCCCTTAAACAGTGTGAGGAGTCTCATAGGGCCACACACGCACCTATGGGCACCTTTAAATCAATTCGGAGGGCAGTCCCCATCAAAATTCTATGGCCATCCTCTGAATCTTGAACTCTGTGATAGAGTCCAGCAGCAACTCTAAGTCTTCTGCTCTGAAAAATGCATCCCAGATTTCTAGGGGATTCATAGGACCTTCTGAAGCTTATCTAAAATAAGCCCTAGGGGCACCTGGGCGGCTCAGTTGGTTAAGCATCCAACTCTTTTTTTTTTAATTTTAATTTTAATTTTTTAAAGATTTATTTATTTGAGAGAGAGAGCATGAGAGAGAGAGAGAGAGAAAGCATGAGAGGGGGGAGGGTCAGAGGGAGAGGCAGACTCCCTGCTGAGCAGGGAGCCCTATGCGGGACTCGATCCCGGGACTCGAGGATCATGACCTGAGCCGAAGGCAGTCGCCCAACCAACTGAGCCACCCAGGCACCCACATCCAACTCTTGATCTCAGCTCAGGTCTCTATCTCACAGTCATGAGTTCAAGCCCCATGTTGGGCTCCATGCTGGGTGTGGAGCCTACTTAAAAATAAATAAATAAATAAATAAATAAATAAATAAATAAATAAATAATAAAATAAGATAAAATAAGCCCTGGTTTAAATTACTGGTAGGAAGGTGAGGCTCAGACAAGTCAGGACTAGAACCCAGGACTCCTGATACCTACTAGGAGGAGGAAGAATCACATGTATGAAAATTTTAGGCTCAACATAGTTACTGCTACTGGATGCCATATTTAGATATGAGCTTGCTGGCACCCAGGGCAAAAATGGAAGTAGGATGAATACATAAACTTCAGTCTCTGATAGGAGGCAGGAATTTCAATTCTTGGGTGAAAGTTTCTCGAGACTGCAAATTTGAAGAGGAATTTGCCTTTCTAATTTACCTCTTTATGTCTTTAAGCAAGAGACCCAGAAAGACAACCTCTGATGAGCCCATCGTCATGGTACCATTTCCTATTTTGTGCCTCTAAAAAGCCCAGGGTATGAATTAAAATGTAACCCAGGAGCGGCAGGATTGATCCTTACAATAACCCTACAAAACAGACGGGGGAGACAGTATCCTTCTTTTATAGTTAAAAGCACTGAGGCTTAGAGTGGCTAGGTGACTCTTCCAGCTCACACAGCAAGTTCTTAGCATTAATTACTATTGGCGCTCAGGTTTTTTGATTCTAACTCCTGTACCCTCCTTGGGACTAGAAAGCCTTGGATGGGGGCGCCTGGGTGGCTCAGTTGGTTGGGCGACTGCCTTCGGCTCAGGTCATGATCCTGGAGTCCCGGGATCGAGTCCCGCATCGGGCTTCCTGCTCAGCAGGGAGTCTGCTTCTCCCTCTGACCCTCTTCCCTCTCGTGCTTTCTATCTCTCATTCTCTCTCTCTCTCAAATAAATAAATAAAATCTTTAAAAAAAAAAAAAAAGAAAGCCTTGGATGGGAGGCCAGAGAATCAGATACTCCTGAAAAACAACTCTTCACAGGCTAAGACTAATTCTCATTGAGCCCTATTTTAGGCACTGGGCCAGCCTCTGAGGTCTCGGGGGTGAATTAGATGAAGTCTGTACCCTCAAGCCCTCACAGTCCAGTGAGATAGACAGGGCGCACTGTTCCCTCTGCTTGGAATTCATTTTCCCGCCAATTCGCCTTGCTGACTCCTTCCTCCCCTTCACATTTCAGTTTAAAAGGCACAAACTCACTTTCTCTATGGAAAATGGATCTCCTCCCTCATTATCACTGCAACCTGTTTGTTTTCTTCTTGGTCCCCACCCCAAGGTATAGGAACATGATATGCATCACTTCATCCATTCATTCAGTATTTATCACGTGCCAGGCACTGTTTTAGGTGTCAGAGATACCGTAGTGAACCATCCAGAATGCACAGGTCTCTTGCACTCTACAAGGAGACCAGTCTGGCTGGAACGAAGTGCAAAAAGGGGGACCTAGAAAGAGATGAGGCCAGAGAGGAAACGGGCTTCAGCCGCCACTATAAGGTGAGCGGCCTTATAAGCAGTTGTAAGGACATTAACTCTTACTCTGAGTGAAATGGGGAGCCATGGCAAGATTTTGAGCCATGATATGATGACACTTATGTGTTAACGGGACTGCTCTCACCGTGGGGGGATCAGGTAATAAGCAAGAGCCCAATCTGTGATCTAAATGCATGATCTGGATGATAGAAGATGGGGCGTGGACCTGGGTGGGGACAGTGGAGGGTGGGGAGAAGTACATAGGCTTGGGATATATTTTAAAAATAAGGCCAACACGGGGCACCTGGGTGGCTCAGTTGGTTAAGCGACTGCCTTCGGTTCAGGTCATGATCCTGGAGTCCCGGGATTGAGTCCCACATCGGGCTCCCTGCTCGGCAGGGAGTCTGCTTCTCCGTCTGACCCTCTTCCCTCTCGTGCTCTCTATCTCTCATTCTCTCTCGCTCAGATAAATAAATAAAATCTTTAAAAAAAATAAGGCCAACAGGATTTGTTGACGGAATGGATATGTGTTGTGTGAGAGCAAGATGTGTCGCAGATCACTGCCAGGTTTTGATCTGAACGAGGGAAGAACAGAGCTGTCATTAATCAAGACAGGGAGACCAAGGGAGAGCAGGTTTGGGGGAGAAGATTGGGCGCTTAGCTTTGGATGTGTTAGGTTTGAGATAGTCATTAGCCCACCGTATGGAGAGGCCGATTGGAGAAACACGCCTGGAGATTTGCTGAGAGATAACACTTGGAGTTCTCAGTGTTTTAAATGCCATGAGACTGTTTTGTTCGCTAGGGTACTACCGGGTGGGGGGAGGGGTTGGGGGCCCTGGGCCAGAGGAAAAGTTTAGACAACTCAGGACTTGAAGGTGTCTGCTAGATTGTGAGCTCTCGAAGGGAGGGCACCAAATATCTCTTGCTCATCTCTGCATCCATAGCACTTAGTCCAATGCCTAGGACAAAGCTGATGCTCAATAAAGATCGTTAAATGCATAAAAGCAAGGGTGAATATGGAGAATGGGGGGAGGGGAGGAAAGGCAAGAACGCAAGGCTTCTGCCTTGGATGACTGCCATAGTTAACAAGAGTACAGGCTTGAACTTCCTGGGTCCCAGTGTTGAAACCACCACCTGGTTCCTGTGTGACCTTCCACAAGTTACTTAGCCTCTGGGTCTCACTTTCCTCCTCTCTAGAATGAGGAGGGTTGTAATGTTTGCCTCTAGGGGTTAGTGAGAGAACGAAATGTGTTAATGCTGGTTCCTTGCCTGGCATGGGTTGGCATTCCATTCGTGCTGGTATTGAGTGTCCTCATGATTGTTACTGTGGTAGTGCGGACATTGACAACGTGGGAGAAAGAGCAGGGCTGGAGGAGGGGTTAGATCCAGTCTGTTTGGGCTATTTTGAGTTTCCATCCCATTGGGATGGCAAGAGGGAGGTGTCCAGGCTGGAGATTAGAAGCCCTTTGGCGTCGTTGACACACAGGTAGTACGTGAAGTCCTAGGTAGGGCCTCAGGAGGGAGAAGGAAAGACCCCAGGAACGGAGCAGGGTGGGATAGAGAGCGACGCCCTCCAACCCCGGACGCGGCCAGGAGGCAGGGCGCAGGGGCTCCGGGTGCCCTCGGGCTCACCCTGTTGGCCACAGCCAGGATGACAAGATTGCAGTAGGCGTCGGGGCTGGGGTCCTGCGGGTCGAGCGGGTTGGAGCCCGGGTGGCGCCGCTCCCAGCTTCCGCCGCCGCCGCCGCCCGCCTGCCTCCGCTCCCAGCTGCCGCCCGGCTTGCCCGCGCCGCCGCCGCCGCCGCCGGTGTGCCTCCGCTCCCAGCTGCCGCTGAACGTCTGCCGCCGCTCCCAGCTGCCCGACGCCCGCGCCCCGGCGCGCTGGCGCTCCAGGCTGCCGCCGCCGCTGCCCCCGGCCCGGGCCTCTGCGCCCGCGCCCCCGCCCCACGCCATCCGCCAGTCCAGGCTGCAGATGGTGTGGCGCCGCTCCGTGGTGCCCCCCCGCCGCTTCTCGGGCGCCGCGCCCGGCGGGCCCGGGTCGCGCCCTGCGCCGCCGGGGCTGGCGTCTACGCCGGCTGGCACCGGGTCCACGCCCAGACCTAGGAGAGGCGGGACGGCGGTCAGGAGATCCGGGCTAAGAGCCCCCTCCCGAGACCAGCTGCGGACCAGCGGCGCCTGGCCCCACCTCGGCCTTCAAAGTCTTGAGGCCAGATCCGCCCCCCCGCGTTGTCCTTACTTTTGGGACCCGCCCCCGGCCTCGGCTCCACCCTAGTCTTGCCTGCGGTCTGACCTGTCCCTCCGTAACTCCAGCCAGGAGCTCCGCCTCCTCGGCATATGGCCACGCCCCTGGCTCAGACTCCGCCCCTCTCCCGAGCTCTCGGTTCGCCGCTGTCTTGCTCTGCTTCACCACGCGCTTTAACTTCAGGTCCCAGAATTTGGGCTCCTCCAGCCTTCCCAGCCCCGCTACCTGGCCTCAGGCTGATGGATCAAGCAAGCTATCCACCCTTCAAACTCAACCTCAACCTGGGGCCGCGTCTTCTTGCGTATGGCCATGGCCTGCTCTTAGTCTCAGGGTAGCGTGGTTAGGCCTTTTCCATCACACACCATCCACCCTCAGCAACCCACCCCCTCCCCACCCCAGGTCACTCCTTTCCCAAAACTAGACGCTGGGACCCTTCTCTCCGCGTTCACCTCCCGGCCCTGCCCCCGGCCCTGCCCCGGCCCCGCCCCAGGCCCCGGCCCCGCCCCGCCCGCTGTACCGGTCTTAAGCACCAGCAGGTGCAGCGCGTCGTCCTGCAGGTAGGAGGCGGCGGCGATCTCGTGCGTGGGGATACGCAAGATTAGCTCCTCATTGTCGCGCCAGGTGAGCAGCAGGCAGCGGGCCGACAGGCTCAGGATGCTGTCCTGCTCCGCTGTGGTCTTCAGCGGCAGCTCCTTCAACTGCTGCCGGGGGAGTCGGATCTCTTGGGTCCCCGAGGGGCTCGGGTGGGGGAGGAAGAAGAGGAAAAGACCCAGCCCTAACCCTCCCCAGGGCCTCACCCTGGCCGTGTCCAGCAGCTGCAGGAGCTCGTCGCGGCTGGAGGGGTTCAGTGAGGAGGTAACCCAGGTGAGGTGGCCCAGGAACTGGACAGGAAATGGGAGGTAGGGGTGGGAGAAGGGCACAGAGAGGTCACCTTGAAGCCTTGGATAACGCAGAACTCCTCACTGACCCGGTGAATATAGACTGAAGTAGCAATGTCTGAACTGATCATAACCTGATAATAACTATTAAGGTGGTCACAGAAGCCAGACCCCAAAAGATGATGCCCCAAATCAATACAGTAATTCTTCATTCATTTTTAGTTAAAACTTAATGTTATCCTGAACTTTAATGTTCTTCAATGTAAGAAATGAACTTTATTTTTAGTTTTGGAATTCTTCTAGGTGAAGTCCACCAATCAGACCTTGTTCTTCTTTTATTCTCTATGGAAATTTCAGTCCCCAATATTTAAGTGGATTTATTAGTTAGCTTTACCCTCCATATATGGTAAAATACAGGATGCCAGTTAAATTTGAATTTCACATAAACAGTGAATACTTTAAAAAAATTTTTTAAGTATTTTTAGGGGGCACCTGGGTGGCTCAGTCGTTAAGCGTCTGCCTTCGGCTCAGGTCATGATCCCAGGGTCCTGGGATCGAGCTCCGCATCAGGCTCCCTGCTTGGCAGGAAGCCTGCTTCTCCCTCTCCCACTCCCCCTGCTTGTGTTCCTGCTCTCGCTATCTCTCTCTGTGAAATAAATAAATAAGATCTTTATTAAAAAAAAGTATTTTTAGTCCCGTGCAATATTTAGGACATATTAATACTAAACAAGTACTCATTGCTTTTCTGAAATTCACATTTGCTCCTTCATGATGCTTATGAAACAGTAGTAAAACCCTTGAGTGACCTCAGTCCCCTCTGGCTTACTGAACTGGGTTCTTTTAACAAGTTCATCCACTGTCTGAGTAGCAACAACATTACTGTGGTAAAACCTTACAGGAAGGTGTGGCTTTTCCCATCTGCTCTCTCCTGTGAGTAGGTTTTGAGCCCCGTGTTGAAATGGAAACACTGAGTGGGTGGAGGTCATTTGCTGAGGATCCACAGCATAAGGCAGGAGCTAGGCTGTCCTGAACCCAGGTCTCTTTCCCCTGAGCATCCCCTGTGTGAGACTGGGCTGGTCAGGGCTTGGTGTGAGAGAGAGGTACAGTCTCTCCTGATGGGATCCAGAACACGCTACCCCCAAATATGGCACGTTGGCATACTGAATATCTTAAGCTTGAAGGAGTTGAAGAAAATGGTAGAAGCAGGAAGGTTTCTCTGACCTTCCCCCACCCTTCTTCCCCCGAAAGCAGGAGATATGTCTCCCACCTGAAAAGTACCCTCCCTGTACCTGGAGGGAGACCTCCTTCTCACCAGACAGAGGGAATTTAGGGCCGAAAAGGCTGTATAAACACACCTTGTTATTTCTTCACCTTTTACTCCCCTAGCCCAAACCCTTCTGCCTTGTCAGTTCTTCATAAATTTAGTGTCAAAAAGATATAAAAGCTTCCTGCTCTGGTCACTGCTTTGGGTCTTCATTCCCTTGCGAAAGCTCTCATGGACATGTAACCATTTAATAAAATGTGCACACTTTTCTCCTGTTCATCTGTGTTTGTTGGCCTCATTTTCAGACCCAGCCAGGGACCCTAAGAGAGTTAAGGAAGACGTTACCCCTCCTTTATTCCCCACCCCAAGATTCTGCCCACCCTTCTCACTCTACACATACCTTGACCTCTTTCTCCAGATAGTCACACAGCAGAATCTGAGGGTCGATGAGGTAGTCAGGGGGGAAAAGGGGCATCGAGTGCAGGGGCCGGCGACTCACACTGGTCCGAAAGGCAGCTCGGCGCCCAGCCTTGGGGAACACCAGCCTCCGGATGGGGGATACAAAGCCCTGGGTGGCGGGGAGGCAGGGAGATGTGGGGGGAAACAACAGTAACAACAGCAACTGGCTTTATGGAGCATTTCTGCATTCGGCACTGTACTTACTTACATAGTACCTAATTTAATTCTCATAGACTCTGCAGAAGGGGTACCTCTGTGATCCCCATTTTACAGATGGAGAAACTAAGCCTCAGAGAGGTTCCCTCTCTCGCTGTGTCTCTCTCTGTCAAATAATTAAAATCCTTAAAAATAAAATAAAATAAAATAAAATAAACACCCAGGTGAGGGCGGAGGGCGTGCTAAGGCCCAGGCCCAGGCCCAGACTGAAGGAGTGGGTCTAGGCCGGGGCAAGTAAGAAAAATATTAAGATTCAATGTCGCTGAGTGGTGAGTGCACAGGTATTTGTCACGCTATTCTCTGTGCTTTCCCCCCAATTTGAAATGGCTAGTTAGTACATTTAAGGAGAATCCAGCAGACACCTGCACAAAAAATGGCCTACAGCAAGATTCAAGAAGCCAGTTCTAGGCTCCAGTGCAGCCCAACAGAATCTAAATCTCACAGGAAAGTGTGAGCACCACTTTAGAGCAGTTCTCAGTGAGTATGGTTCCTGGGTCAGCAGCGGCAGCACTGAGGAACTTAAGAGAAATGCACATTCTCCCATTCCATCCTAGATCTACTGGGTCAGAGCTTGGGGGTGAGACCCAATGATCTATGTTTTAACAAGCACTCCAGGTGATTCTGATACAGGCCCAGCTCATATTTTAAAACCACTATCTTGGAGCTTCTGAGAAATGAGAACAAATGATCTGGGAAAGGGTGTTCCAGGCAGGTTTGCATGGTACATGCAAATCCCTGGGGCTGGCTGAGCATGAGCCTGGGGAAGATGCACACGTGGTCTATTGCAGCTGAATGATGAGATGAATGAGCCATAGAGGGCCTGAATGCCAGCTATGGAGCTGGGACTTGATTCTGTGTATGTGAGTGTGTATGGAGCTGGGACTTGATTCTGTGTATGTGAGTGTGTGTGTGTGTGTGTGTGTGTGTGTGTATGGAGTGGAGAGGTAAATGTTTTGTCTGTGGCCTTTAATGGTCCAGCCCTGCCCACGTCTCCAGCCTCATTTTACGCACACCCCCACCCCCACCCCCGCCGCCCCTCACTCCTGCCCTCCAGCTACAGGACCATCTTTCCAGTCCTCCCTACTTTCTCTGTTCCTTCCTACTGCAGAGCTTTTGCACATGCTGTTCCTCTGCCTGAAATGCTCTTCCCTACCCCCTTTTCTTTCACCCATCAGATCTCAGCTCAAACTGACCAGTCTAGGGTTGGGTCCTCCTAATATTCTATATCCCAGCACTGTGTATGGAGTCTCTTATGCAATTTTATATTCACTGCTTTTTTTTAAAAAATTAAAAGTTGCTTTCCCCACTAGACTGTGAGCTCCAGGGAGGGAGCAGAGACCTTGTCTGACTTTGCTCACCACTACATCATCCCCAGTACCAGGCACCATGCTTGGCACATAATAAGGGTTCAGTAAATATCTAGAGAAGGGATAAACCCAGAGAGAAGCAGCACTATGTCTTGACTCCCTTCTGAGCCCTCATGATTCACATGGGAGCCCTTTAGACCAGCCTGACCTTGGTTTCTTGAAGAGAGCTGGGTGGTGGTGGGAGTTGGAATCTGAGGGACCCCCTGAATGGCAAAGACAACCAGGTGAGGTGCCCAAGGAACCAGACTAGAAAACTGACAGTAAGGAGGGGTGAGGATCTGTGGGGTGAGGGGGATGACCCTCAGGCTGAGGCCTTTGGAGCAGAGCTGTTCTGGCATAAAGATGGGGAGGGGGCAGGCTAGGCTGGAACCCAGCAGGGGAGCAGGTAAGTGTCTCAACCTGGATAGGCAGCCTTATAGCACAGACTTGCCCTGGCTGAGCTCCTTCTGTCTGGGGAGGTAAGGAGCAGAGGAATGGGTCTGTTCTGTGTTTGTCTCTCGGTCTGAGGAGCCCCCAGGAAAGCCATGGAAGCAGGTTGGGAGTATCTCCCAAAACAATCTGTCTGGCTGGGTTTCCCCGGAAGGTGCCTGTCTGTCTGTCTATTCATTCCAGGGATGGCAGACGCCGCTTGAGAGTGGGGAGATAGGTTAGGGAGCTTGAGTCCAAATGTCTGACTGCCCAAGGGTGGGAAGGACAGTCTTTTCTGATGAGAAGAAAGACTCTACCCATGCCACTCACTGTCCCTCACCCCCACCCCAGGCCTCCCACTTTACCAGCTCCACAGACATTTCTTTCCCCTGCATCCCTCCCAACCTCCCACCTACCTTTTTCCCTTTCTTGACTTCATATTCCATGGTGAAGCGTCTCCTCCACTCTTGCCACTCTTCTGACCATCTCCTCCACCCTCTCCCCGCCACGCAGTTCCTTTGTTCTTTTTCCTGCCTGGTCGGAAACTCCACCAGCCCCGGAGTTCCTGCCCCTCCCGTCTGATAGTGAGCAGAGGTGGGGGGTCAGAGGCGAGTGGAGGATGCAGGCTTGGGCCCCTCCAACTGAAGAGTGGAAGGAAACCCAGCCAGAACAACCTACCCGGGGAGAAGGCCTCAAGCCTCCCTCCAGAAGGCTTGCTGTTGAGGGGGCTTGGGAACCGAGTAAGGCTGGGGAAGGGCCTCCCAGTTTGGAGTCTGAGAATCCCAAATTCCAACCCTACTTCTGCCACTGACCTTGTTGTGTGACCTTGGCAAGGCAAGTCATTCCCTCTTGTACAGCCTCGGTTGCCCCCTCCTCTCTATGAAGTAGGAATAAACATCGTCTCCCTCCCTGGCTGCTGTGGTGAGAAATAAATACAAGAGTAGATAGGAAAATGCTTCCTAAACTATAGAATATTGTGTCCAAGCAAGTTATGATTTTAAAAATTAATCATTACCATTAAGGGAGGCAGTATTCATGGGGTTCGAGAATAGGCTGCCTGAGTTTGAATCCTGATTTTATCACTTAACTAGGGTGATGACCTTGGGCAAGTCCATTACCCACTTGTTTACCCATCTATAAAATGGGCATAATAGCAGTCTGACCTCATGGTGACCTTGTGAGGATTAAATGCACTTAGAAGAGCTCCTGACACATATGAAATGCTCAGTAAATGTTAACTATTTACCTATCCATGTGTCTGTGTGTCCTGGGCTGTTTTACTGTCTCTTGGGAGAATATTAGTGAGGCGAGTTTCCCTTTGTGATTCTGTGATGAGCACTTTACGTATTTCATCTCTCTCGTTCCTTACAATATTGGGGTATCATTATACCTATTATACAGATCAAAAAATCAGGCTCAACTGCAGAGGCTGACCCAAAAAAAGTCATCAAGTTTATAAGAGGAGGAGGACCTGAGATTTCTGGCCAGTCTGGATCTGAAGCCTAGTTCCTTACCTCTAGGGCCAGTGTGCTCAGCGTGTCCCACCCAGGACAGTTGGGAAGGTGTCGATTGACCCATCCACACCTTGCCATGACACCTGGGTTCTGGAAGCCCTAGTTCTGGAACTGATTTGCTATATGATCTAGGGCAGTTTGCTTATTTTAATGTTTCTGGGCCTCAGCTTCCTCATCTTTCCGATGGGAACAATGATCCCAAATGCCCTGCCCTGTAGTCAGAGGTGTGGTGAGAAAGACATCAGACTATGTGTGAGAAAGCAGGCAGGAATTGTGAAGTGCAGGAGCTGATGCACTGGATGGTCTTGAAAGTTTCTTCTGAAAGCACAGGTGTGCAGAAACAAAGAGAAAGAAAAACGAAAGAAAGAAAGAAGAAAGAAAGAAAGAAGAAAGAAAGAAAGAAAGAAAGAAAGAAAGAAAGAAAGAAAGAAA